GTGTGTGTGTGTGTGTGTGTGTGTGTGTGTGTGTGTGTGTGTGTGTGTGTGTGTGTGTGTGTGTGTGTGTGTGTGTGTGTGTGTGTGTGTGTGTGTGTGTGTGTGTGTGTGTGTGTGTATGAAAACCTCTTATAACTTTTGAACGGCTCGACCAATCGGATCGAAATAGGTAGCGATCCAAAGAGTATCATTGCCATTAAATTTCGTGAAAATTTGAATCGATTCGGTTCTCTAGATTTTGAGAAATCTCAAAAATGAAATTTTCAAAAAATCGTTTTATTAGAATAACTTCAAAACGGCTCGAATGATCACTTTTAAAAACTAACATGCTTTTAAATTTAAAAAACTACGTCGATTGTCACCAGTCCCGTCAAAATCGGTTGATTCGTTCGAGAGTTATCGATATCGAACACGAAACATTTCGAAAAAAGTGTTTTTTTCACATAACTTCGACATTGTTTTTTTGGAATGTTTTTGATGAAATAAAATAATTATTAGAGCCTAAAAATCACGTCGATCGCCACCAAGAACGTAAAAATCGGTTGATTGGTTCATGAGTTATCGTTGTCGAAAAAATTCGGAAAAAGTGAATTTTTCAAATTTCTCTAAGATTTTCGGTTCGATCAGTTTGTGTTCAGAAGTATATCATAGAATTTGAAAAACTGCGTGGAATACTGCTAACCGCATGAAAATTGATTCATTCATTCAGAAATTATTGCAGTTTGAAAATTCAAAAAATACTGTAGTAATAAACGTCTATCAGACTTTTGAGCTCGAAGAGCTCAAAAGCTTGGAACAGCTAACTCTATGAGCTCGGAGAGCTTGAAATAACACATAAATTATATTTTTGAACTCGAAGAGCTCAAAAACGGCAATTTTAAGCGTTTAGATATGTAATTAGGGGGAAGTTGCAGGGATGGCCTTTAGGGCCAACCGTTTTCCATATTTTTCTTTAATTTTTCGACCAACCGAAGAAGTTAAAAAAAAAAAACATTAAACGTTGGCAAATAAAAAGCTTAATCTGAAATAATTATGTGAGTTTTATTCATTTAATAGATTTAAATTATCTTTTACAGTTAAGAGATTACTTAAAAATAAAGCCTCGAAATATATATAATGGAAAATTTTTTCAAATTTGTAAAGTAGCAGAATAAATTCAAAATATTATCAAAACTAGACCAATAATAGCATATATTAAACATAATTGTGTAAAATTTAAGATAAATTAGATACATATATATAGTTAATTTTCACTTAAATTCCAATTTAAATAAAAAACTTTTTTATCATCCACAACTGGTAAACTAACTGGCCGATTTTGCTCATCTTCGAACTTAATATTGGTATTGATCCACAGAATGAACCCAGAAAATTTTATGATGATCGGTTGAGAACTGTGGGCGCAAAATTTCCTTAAAGTTACGACATGAGACCGGCTACCACAGATAAACTTCTAAAGAAATCCATCTAATAAAGTAAACAATTATAGAAAATAAGTTTGCTTATGAAATTATTTATTATTTTATAATAAAATGAACTGTTTAACATATAAAAAGGTTATAGTAGTAAGATACATGTTGTTTAATAATGAGATTAATAATGATATAGTAAGATAATAATGAATCATTATTAATGATATAGTTAGGTAATACACAGATAAAAAATTTAACTTGATTCAAGAAAAATAATTTTGAACCAAGAGTACCATTTCGAAGGAAATAATTTTCTTGAATCAAACGAAAAAATTCTTAAGTAAAAAAATTATTCTCAATTTAAGAATTTTTCCTCGAATCAAGAAAATTATTTTCTTGCAAATGGTAGTTATTATTATTATTATTATTATTATTATTATTATTATTATTATTATTATTATTATTATTATTATTATTATGGATAATTATAATTATAATTATCTATAATAATTATAATTATTATTAATAACTGTGGCGGAGCCCTCCCTCTTTTTTGAAACCCGCCTCGCTGGTTTCCACCACGCCTCTTCCGATTCGCTCGATGCTTTCCAGCGGCGATCTGGCGTTTTTGTGTACTTGCTATAAAGAAAAATTACTTTAAGCACCAGCTTTTAGAATGTATGCATAGTGATAACAAAGTCAACTTGATTCGAGAGAAAAAATCATAAAAATTGATTCGAGAGAAAAAATTATAAAAATTCATATTTATTCAGGTGTTATAACGATGTACCTTATGTACTCGTATGTAAGACTATTTTTTTAACTTCCCGCTAAAAATCTCAGATTTTCAAAAATCGGGAAGTTATTGTTTTCACCCCGTTTAACAAAAATCGAGTTTTCATCAGATCTCGACGTTTGAAGGTCACAGGAAGCTTCCCTGACTATTTTTACGATGATGTCCGTACGTCTGTATGTATGTGTGT